TACTTTTCAGAATCGCACGGAAGAATTAGTTTCGTATGACACGTCAGTTAGACGATAGGTCCGTCAGGAACGCCAACTATTGAAATTAATTCGAAGTGGCGATTTCCATACAAAATTTTTAGACTTTTTCAGGCAATTTTTTAAATAGAACCATCCTCGTGCTTCAACGAATATTTGAAAACAAAAATTAGCCGAATCGGTTGAGTCGTTCTCGAGTTATGCGCTTAGCAACACATTTGGCGATCCATTTTTATTATATAAACTAGCTGATCCCGTGAACTTCGTTTCACCTACAATTTAATTTTGAATCTACAAAACCGAATGCTTCGAAATCTTGCAGATGTTTTAAACATATGATAAGCATAATACATTTTTATTCAAAATATATTTACTTATCCCCTCCAAAAAATTGATGACGTCAGTCCAAAATTTTGCCAAATGAATCCTATCTAAAATGTCCAAAATAGGATGAGACTATACTTGTGATTTATCATTCCATTCATATTTTTTAGTTTTGCTTATAGGGGGTGTCTCAAAAAAATTAATCACTGAGTCAATTTATTTTATTGATTGAATCAAGAATTGCAAAACTGAATTTTGAAATATTGCAGACGTTTTGAAGTTACTGTTTGACATGAGATGGGAATCTCTATGCCAGTTAGAAAGAACGCACTGCACAATTTATGCATAAATAAAAGTTAATTATCTTAGGACTTCAGTTTTAATTTATCGAATTCCGTGATTCGTTCACTCGACAATGTTTAAATTTTGGGAAAATTTTCCAAACGATTGAAGTCGGTTGATCAAAGCTATACATTTGCATGATATAAATTAATAAATTTTAAACATAATTAATATCACTTATAATGTTAAAATATGATAAGCGTAAATATATATGATAATTAAACCGAAACTCGTTGTCTTAAAAGCCCGAAATTATTAAAAACAAATCAATTTGTTTAAACATTATCCCCGAAAATGTGCATTTTCCCGGCCAAAATATGAAAAATAATTTTTGCAATCTCATCGTGACGTACGATGACGTCACTGTCACCTGAGCTACCTGTCCGCAGGTCACGTTTCGCCGTCCTTTGTGTTCAGTATTAATTTCTGTTTGATGGCGGCAAGATCGTCGCTTCATTTTGACGTAAAAGTGGAGCGTTTTAGCGAATTTCTAGTTTATTATTAATACATATTACGGAAAATATGTTGTGTTAGTGCCGTGAACACGAACGAAAATGGATATTTTTCCGAAAAGGAGAGAAAACAGGGTAAGTACGACTTCAGTTTTAATTTATCGGATTCCGTGATTCGTTTGGTCGACAATGTTTACATTTTGGATAAATTTTCGAAACGATTGAAGTTGGTGGGTCAAAGCTATATATTTTCGCGATATAATTAAATAAAATTTAAACATAATTAATATAATTCATAATGTTTAAGTATGATAACTATTAATATATGATAATTAAACCGAAAACCATTTTTATAAGAACACGAGGTTAGCAAGAACCAATTAGTTTGTTTAAACATTGTTAAATTAACCCCGAAAATGTACAATTTCTGAGCGAAAATATGAAAAATAATTTTTGCAATGTCATCGTGACGTACGATGACGTCAATGTCACGTGAGCTACCTGTATAAAGGTCACGTTTTGCGGTCCTTTGTGTTCAGTATTAATTTCTGTTTGATGGAGGCAAGATCGTCGCGTCATTTTGGCGTAAAAGTGGAACATTTTAGTGAATTTCTAGTTTATTATTAATACATATTACGGAAAATATGTTGTGTTAGTGCTGTGAACACGAACGAAAATGGATATTTTTCCGAAAAGGACCGAAAACAATGTAAGTACGACTTCAGTTTTAATTTATCGGATTCCATGATTCGTTTATTTGACAATGTTTAAATTTTGGAAAAATTTTCGAAACGATTGAAGTTGGTGGGTCAATGTTATACATTTTCGCGATATAATTAGATAAAATTTAAACATAATTAATACAATTCATAATGTTCAAATATGATAACTATCAATATATGATAATTAAACCGAAATCCATTTTTCTAAGAACACGAGGTTAGCAAAAACAAATTAGTTTTTTTAGTGTTTAAACATTGTTAAATTAACCCCGAAAATGTACAATTTCTGATCTAAAATATGAAAAATAATTTTTGCAATCTCATCGTGACGTACGATGATGTCACTGTCACGTGAGCTACCTGATAAAAGGTCACATTTTCTATCCTTTCTGTTCAGTTTTGATTTCGGTCTGGTAGCAGCAACACTGTAGCTCCGTTTTGGGTTAAACGTAGCACGTGTTCGCGAATTTCTAATTTATTGTTAATAAATATTAGCGAAAATGCTTTGCGTGCTGTAAATACGAAGGAAAGTGGATATTTTTCCAAAAATGCCCGATTTTTTTTGAAATATGTTGTTAATAACATGCATTCAGGACTGATAAAATACGGCTTTAGAATATACAAAGTACAGCGTTCATAATTCACAAAATACCGTATGCATCATTTTTAAACTACGATGTCCAGATTTACAAAATACGGTGTCCTTCACCCATGCTATCAAACCCTAGTCCTCTCTTTTAATGGCAAGACGCACTCCAGACCTCCTCGTATTGTTTGGTTCTTGCTGGGCAACAGCAACGAGCGAGCACAGTCATCGCTCTTTGGTGGCAAACGTGGAGAAATTTGTATATTGTAACTTTTGTAATTGAAGCATTTTGTACTGTATATTGTATGTGTTACTAACTTAACTTGGGTCTTGCCAATTTAGCTCCAGTGGTGCAAATGCTTTGTTTTCACGGTGCACTTGCTTGGGTTTTAATTTTGCAACAGTGCATTCTTTGGTTCCGAGACTGAATTCTCCATGTCGTCAGACGCTCTGGCCTGGGGGGGTTCTGTTGGCCCTTAGACGCTGGGTCAACATCCTAAACGGATGAGGTTCATCATCCTAAACGGATGAGGTCAGTCGGCCCTGTATCTATGCGGCCGCATTCTCCCTTGGGCGTGTGAGCGCTGCGACCTATAGATTTCGTTTCGAGTTCCATCGGTGTGCTTGCTTGGGTATTAATTTTGCAACAGTGCATTCTTTGGTTCCGGGTCTGAATTCTCCATGTCGTCAGACGCTTTGGCCTGGGGGGGTTCTGTTGGCCCTTAGACGCTGGGTCTCATCATCCGATAAGGATGAGGTCAGTCGACCTTGGATTTATGCGGCTGCGTTCTCCCTTGGGCGTGTAAGCGCTTCGACCAATAGATTTCGTTCCGAGTTCCATCGGTGTGCTTGCTTGGGTTTTCATTTTGCAACATTCTCAATTTTTGGTGCAATTTTTTCCTGTGGTGTATTGGGTACTAACTTTGCATTTGTATTGTATCTGAATTGTATCTGTATCTGTAGTGTATTCTGTATTGTAGTTAGATTGTAGGTACCTGTATTGTATTTCCATTGTATTGTACTGTATAACGTCTATCCCTCATTAACAAATCCTAGCCCTCTCCTTTCCTAGCGAGATCTACTCCAGACCTTCCCGTGGTTCTTGCTGAGCATCAGCTATCGAGGACAGAAAATTCAAATTCAAAACCAGCAAAGTTTCACAAAAATCATGAAACTCGCTCGTTGGTGGCCAACGTGGAGCAAAAGAGACTTTTGTAACTCAACTAACTTTATTAACTTTATATTCTTAAGGAAACAAAAATATATTACATTTAATTTATTATTTATAAGAACAAATAGTCATTTGCCACGCCGATGCTCATTTTGAGATTAAATGCTCACAAAACGCGTAGATGTTCAATGTCCGGGGAGACACAATGTTTCCAAGTAGGTACTCAGTACATAGAGTAGATGCTCAGGTATATAGGAGTAATAATGAAGTAGGTACTTCGTACTTCGCATATGAATATTTACTCACTTTTATTCATACCACCCAATGTCTCGCTTCAATGTTTGATTATGTTGATTATTATGAGCACAACGCTGATCAACTTCCGTATCCGAATTACCCATGAATTAAATCATTGCGATTTGCACCTGAGGTAGTTCGTCGCACATTTGATTGACTTCGTGGACCTATGTCAGCTTGTCGTCTTCTCGGCATTGTAATGAACTTCATAAAACGACCCAGAATTATTTTCACAGTCAATCAAATATGTGAATTTTGTCTTGAGAATTTTAAAATATTGAAAATTTCAAATTAAATCCTCGAATAACAGTAAAGTTTGAGGTTTTGTCGAAACCAACAAAGTGAATATACGTAAATAGAATGGCAGATCAAAATTAATAAGAAACTTTCGCAATGCGTAACTAAATTCACTTTAACGAACACTTTTCTTAAAATAAACGACGTTTTTTGGTACGAAAAAACAAACAACGACTTGAAATGCAATAATACTTTTCACAATCGTACGGAAGAAATAGTTTTGTGTGACACGTCAGTCAGGCGACAGGTCCGTCAGGAACGCCAACTATTCAAATTCATTCGTAGTGGCGATTCCCATGCAAAATTTTTAAATTTGTTTTATCTTTTAGCCGTCTCATTTTTCATAAATTTTCTTTCATATAAACCTTGTCCTGACGATAAGGAACACGTAAAAAAAAGAATCGTCCAATTCGGTGCAGCCGTTCTGAAGTTATGAGCGTACATACATTTCGGCGATTCATTTTTATTAATATAGATTGTTTTTTTTTGTTTTTGTTAAATTTTATGGATTCGGAAATTTAACCTGTCTATTTCGAACGAGATTTATTTAACAAGTTTTTGAGATGAATAGTTAATGCTAGATTTCTGTTCTTGAATACGCGCGAAGGTGACTGCAGAATAGATGCTTCAGATATAGATAAGTTCAGATTTATTTCGAGAAATTACAACCACAGTTTATTTAAAAACAAGCTCCCAGATGTGAAGACAATTAAAACAATTAAAAACATAACATAATTCAAACTGACCGCGCCCGCACTCTGTCCCCACTTCTCCGCTTCCCTTTCCATCGTTAGTCAAGTGGAGGGGGAGCGCGTATCAGGTATATATACCGCAACGTTCCGCCACCCATTCAGTTTATCCTCTGCTTGCACGATAAAATTTTCCAAGATGTACAAAATTTTACCTTTCATCCCTGACGTTGAATTTGCTTTGACGAATTTACCCGTCGAGCTTTGGGCCATCATCTTGAGGTAAGTAATATTTTTATTTTTGTTGTAATTTTTTACTAATATTGTGTTTGTTTCAGGTGTTTGGACCCTACTTCACTTCTAACTGCTGTCAGCTCCAACGACCTGTGGAAACACATCGCCCAGGGAGATCCTGTTTTGAGGAAGACCATCAAGGACCAGAGGGTGTTGGAGAAACGAAGACGCCGAGAGGAGATGCTTAATCCAGGGCTCTTGATATCCTTAACCACAAGTGGACCCGGAGGAGTGTTTGGACCCAACACTACCAAAATTGTTCGAAGACAGATTCCAGCACGAGAACCAGTTACCACCGTGGAAAAAAGGAAACGTCGTCGAAACGAAGACGCTGGACCTCTTCGCAAAAAAATAATGCAAGAATTGAAAATAATGAGATGTTAATGAAACCATTGTAAATATTTTTAATATTTTTATTTTTTTTTAAGTAAGAATATTTTTGTTACTAGCAGCCAAACATATTGTATATAATTAATTTAATAAAATAATTAATTCAATTAAATTTGTGTTGTCTTTAATAAATTAAGCTAAAAATTTAACTCGTTGCTTCAGAACGCAGCCCAAAAGAAATGGAAAAGGACAAACATTAAGTCAAAATATTATATAAATACAGCAGTAGAACGGAGGAAAGCTTTTCCAGGAGTTTAAAAAAATCCTAAAACTTAAATAAGAGGTGAAGAAGTGCAAGAGGCGGTGAAGTAAATGAAAAATAACAAACCACTCGGTGAACAGGAACTATTAATAGAAATAATAAGTGGAAATGAAGCCATAGAAAAACTATAAATGACACCTTCGACATGTGTCTTACTCAAGGAAGAATACCACAAGGAATATCAAAATCAAGATTCTTTAGCAACAAAAAAATTAAGATCGTAACAATGAACACAAGACAACACTATATTCTAATCTTGAGACATACTCTATTGTACTGTATTATGTGGTATTGCACTATTGGAATATATTGTGAAGATTTATTTTAGTCTAAAGTAACACAATCACTGCGTTCGAAACTGTCTTTTTTATGTGATAATTGTTTTTATTTTATTTTTGTTAAATTTTATGGATTCGGAACTTTAAAAACCTGTTTATTTCGAACCAGATTTGTTAACCAAGTTTTTCTGATGAATAGCTAATACTGGATTTCTATTCTTGAATACGCTCGAAGATGACTGCAGAATCGATGCTTCAAATACAGATAAGTTCAGAGTTTCGAGAAATTACAACCACAGTTTATTTAGACACAAACTCGCAGATGTTAAGACAATTAAAACAATTAAAAACATAACATAGTTCAAACTTACCGCGGCCGCACTCCTCCGCTTCCCTTTCCATCGTTAGTCGAGTGGAGGGGGAGCGCGTATCAGGTATATATACCGCAACATGCCGCCACCCATTCAGTTTATCCTCTGCTTGCACGATAAAATATTCCAAGATGTACAAAATTTTACCTTTCCTCGCCGACGTTGAATTTGCTTTGCCGAATTTACCCGTAGAGCTTTGGGCCATCATCTTGAGGTAAGTAATATTTTTATTTTTGTTGTAATTTTTTACTAATATTGTGTTTGTTTCAGGTGTTTGGACCCTCCTTCACTTCTAACTGCTGTCAGCTCCAACGACCTGTGGAAACACATCGCCCAGGGAGATCCTGTTTTGAGGAAGACCATCAAGGACCAGAGGATGTTGGACAAACGAAGACGCCGAGAGGAGATGCTTAATCCAGGGCTCTTGATATCTTTAACCACAAGTGGACCCGGAGGAGTGTTTGGACCCAACACTACCAAAATTGTTCGAAGACAGATTCCAGCACGAGAACCAGTTACCACCGTGGAAAAAAGGACACTCCGTCGAAACGAAGACGCTGGACCTCTTCGCAAAAAAATAATGCAAGAATTGAAAATAATGAGATGTTAATGAAACCATTGTAAATATTTTTAATATTTTTATTTTTTTTTTAATTAAGAATATTTTTGTTACTAATAGCCAAACATATTGTATATAATTAATTTAATAAAATAATTAATTCAATTAACTTTGTGTTGTCTTTAATAAATTAAGCTAAAAATTTAACTCGTTACTTCAGAACGCAGCCCAAAAGAAATGGAAAAGGACAAATATTGAGTCAAAATACTACATAAATACAGAAGTAGAACGGAGAAAAGCTTTCCCAGGAGTTTAAAAAAATCCTAAAACATAAATAAGAGGTGAAGAAGTGCAAGAGGCGGTGAAGTAAATGAAAAATAACAAACCACTCGGTGAAGACGAACTATTAATAGAAATAGTAAGTGGAAATGAAGATATAGAAAAACTATAAATGACACCTTCAACATGTGTCTTACTCAAGGAAGAATACCACAAGGAATATCAAGATCAAGATTCTTTAGCAACAAAAAAATTAAGATCGTAACAATGAACATAAGACAACACTATAGTCTAATCTTGCCATACTCTATTGAACTGTATTATGTGGTATTGCACTATTGGAACATATTGTGAACATTTATTTTAGTCTAAAGTAACACAATCACTGCGTTCGAAACTGTCTTTTTTATGTGTTAATTGTTTTTGTTTTGTTTTTCTTATATTTTAAGGATTCGGAACTTTAAAAACCTGTCTATTTCTAACGAGATTTGTTTAACAAGTTTTTGAGATGAATAGTTAATGCTAGATTTCTATTCTTGAATACGCGCAAAGATGACTGCAGAATCGATGCTTGAGATATAGATAAGTTCAGATTAATTTCGAGAAATTACAACCACAGTTTATTTAAAAACAAGCTCGCAGAAGTTAAGACAATTAAAACAATTAAAAACATAACATAATTCAAACTGACCGCGACCGCACTCTGTCCCCACTTCTCCGCTTTCTTTTCCATCGTTAGTCGAGTGGAGGGGAGCGCGTATCGAGTATATTTACCGCAACGTGCCGCCACCCATTCTCTTTATCCTTTGCTTGCACGATAAAATTTTCCAAGATGTACAAAATTTTACCAGTCATCCCCGACGTTGAATTTGCTTTGCTGAATTTATCCGTGGAGCTTTGGACCATCATCTTGAGGTAAGTAATATTTTTATTTTTGTTGTAATTTTTTACTAATATTGTGTTTGTTTCAGGTGTTTGAACCCTACTTCACTTCTAATTGCTGTCAGCTCCAACGACCTGCGGAAACACATCGCCCAGGGAGATCCTGTTTTGAGGAAGACCATCAAGGACCAGAGGGTGTTGGAGAAACGAAGACGCCGAGAGGAGATGCTTAATCCAGGGCTCTTGATTTCCGTAACCACAAGTGGACCCGGAGGAGTGTTTGGACCCAACACTACCAAAATTGTTCGAAGACAGGTTCCAGCACGAGTACCAGTTACCACCGTGGAAAAAAGGACACTTCGTCGAAACAAAGACGCTGGGCCTTTTCACAAAAAAATAATGCAAGAAGTGAAAATAATGAGATGTTAATGATACCATTGTAAATATTTTTAATATTTTTATTTTTTTTTAAGTAAGAATATGTTTGTTACTAGCAGCCAAACATAACTAAGAAGTGGAGAAGTGCAATAGGCGCTGAAGTAAATGAAAAATCACAAACCACCCGGTAAATGCGTACCACTTACAGTGTAATTATAAGTGGAAATGAACCCATAGAAAAACTAGATGACAACTTTAACATGTGTCTTACTCAAGGAAGAATACCTCAAGGAATATCAAAATCAAGATTCTTTAGCAACAAAAAAAATTAAGATCGTAACTAGTTAGTTGTTGATGTTTCCTATTATATTTTTTGTTAGAATGTGTTTTTATTTTATAATTCAAATTATATAATTATTTTTAAGACCCACCACTGACAATATTCACAACATTCAGGCAAGGCTTCTATCATTACGGGTACTAAGACCAAGTAATGATATGCATTGATTCGATTTTTATTTGAGTTTATTGTCGTTATTATATTATTATAATTATTATATATATTGCTTATGTATATATGCTTTACTTTATACGTATTTCAGGAATATTTTTTGTTTTGTTTTAGAAAAAAGTTGATTTTTGCACTTATTAGTAATATTCATTATTTTTACATTTAATACATCCCATAGTTACTTCCATTACTAACAAACCTAACCTTATCCCAATCCCGGCGAGGAAGACCTCAGACCTTCGCGTGGTCCTTGCTGAACAATATTAATAATTTGCAAAATGACAATTTTGCCAATTTGTTAGGTCTATGAATCAACACCATACAGGTAGCAAATTATATATAATGACTAACTTCAGGTCCCTGTTTCTTGTATTCTATATCTTAAAACTTTGGGTCACTCACTGCTGGCCGACCCAACCAAAATAGTCACGAGCCGCCACTGTTTCGGCGTTTCTTGAGTCAGTTACACAAACTGGCATAAACTGGCAGCAGTGTCGAGTAACTTGAACTTGAATGGTGTATTTTGGGTTGCCTGAATATCCAGTTCGAAAAAATTAAGTAATACCACACTTATTATTCTTATTAGTATTTTACAATAATAGAAATGTCGACACTCAGCCTCTAGACACTAACTGACTCTTCGTTTCGTATTTTCGAAGACTCGGGCAAGAACCTCTGGTGTAATTCGTTCGCACTTTTGGCGAATTAAGGCTTGTAAGTCGTTGATGGTATACCGATGGGTTGTCTAAAAATGGGGGTTTTTAACGTTGGGAACACGAAATAATCCAAGGGCGTCAAATCTATTGATCGAGATGGGTAGATGTGGTCAGTGGGAAACTAATCAAACGGTCGTCGTAAAATTCCCTTAAAAATTTATCATCGTTCGTGTTCGCTGAGCTGTTGCGCCGTCATGTTGGAAAAACACATTCTGTAGTTCCTCAGGATCGAGTTAGTCAATAAATTCGTGCATCATGTCTAGTTTTGCGCAGCTGTGATCGCCTCTTCAAAAAAATGGGCCTATACACCCACATTCGTATGTTTTATGAATTCATGCACCGCTCCAAATAAAATCATGCTTTATCAATAAAGAATATTATACTGAAGAGATTAAAGTTGTTTTCACCTTCTACTCATAATCTAGTGGTTAAGGCTCTTGAAATATTTGTATATTGTAAGGAAACAGCCCTAGTTCCTTCTTGACCATTTTCTGGCAAATGTTGCATGATAAGTCGACTTGTCGTGAAAGATGCATGGAGGTTGTCATCTATTACAGTCTAACGTTATTTACTGTCTCAGGCGTACGTTTTGTTGATCTGACACTCCTTGTATCACGCAATAACTTCTTCTTTTATTGAAGTTGAAAAGTCGTCAAAAACTTTTGATCCACTCGCAAAACGACGATCTAGTTTTGAACAAGACAGACTTTTGGTGAAAATTTTTGGAGAAAACTGGTCGGACCAACGAAAAGATGTATGCAAACAACCAAAACGACCAAGAAGGTTATATTTATGTTGATTGAATAACTCCTACGACGCTAGCTGACGTAAGCGTCATGAATAACTAGAGCAAACATTTTATGTATATGGTATACACATAAGAAAAACTTCTAAAAAGAAGAGTTTGTTAAACAAGATGTTTCTTCTCAAATCGTGTTTCCTAAAATTTACAATTACTTTATTTGTCATAGTTATAATACTTAATAAAAAATAGTTAAAATGATAACTGATTAATAACTGATATATGTAATGATAAAGACAAAGTTTTTATTCTAAAATATTTAAATGTTAAAAATAAGCAAATAAACAATGTTAATAACCTTAATGTTTTAAGCTCTTTATGTTCTAAACTTTATCGGCTTCTTCAGTTCTGAATTTAAAGTTTACTCTTCGTACGCCTTATTGAATTTTATTTGTGAATTTTAATCGGTTAAAATACATACTATTACTAAAAAAATACCACATGAGGTAAAAATTACATAGAAGTTCCGAACCATGATGAGTACATCAACCACTGGTTTTACAGGAGATCCGTAACACTGCTGGTTGATGCTGATGATTAGATAATGCTATGTATTTAAAACAATACAGAGACGAACTTCGTCCAGTGATTTATCTTTACTGCAGTCCCACAAATTTAGTGGTTGAATTAACATTTCAATCTGACATATTAATATTAATATTTTGTGTTGTGATATATTACCTTTTTATTTTGCAATTCTAATTTTTAAAGTGCAATTACCGCACTTATCTTACCCTAGATCAAAAATATTTTAAGAACCGCCTGGCAAAAGATCCAAATCTGAAGTTTATAGATGGTGAATGCAAAGCATTTTTTTTATCAGTTGTGCAATTGATGTGTCTGATAATAATAAGCATTATTAAATAGATCACTAAATAAATTCTGTCTACAGGTCTGCAGTTTTATTAGGAAATATAATGAATATGAACTAAATGCCGGCTGTGGAAAAAGTGTATGTATGTATTTCGCAAAAAATACTCATTTATCACGCATTTAAAATGTAGTACATATTCGACTATTACCCTAATGTTCGTTACACAATATAAACACTTTTCATATTTTAATAGAAAACAATATACGGTACTACAGTTCTGTGCTTTATTTATTTAGGCTAGAGAAAATAAGTCTAAAAGCCATAATTCCTTACAAACGTAATAATCAGATCTTGTGACAGGTTTGTTTGGTTGCAGGAATGATAGTTGCGTGTTTCGCGTCTGGATGGCGGATGTAACATTGTCAGGGTTGTTTCTTGGTTACGAGCAGAGCGCACAATGCTTGGTCGGGGCGAGAAGAACCGGGGAGTTGGGAGAGTGTAGGACTAGGAACAGTAAATTGTTTAGCGAGTTTCCTGGCTTTTGTTCGCCGAACTCGACCAATTAGTCGCTGTGAAAGGCTCGTTAGCTCATTATTCACTACCTGACTACTATTCAATCACTTGTTTGAGCTTCTTTGGACTCCTACGTTCGACGCTCAACGTTACAAA